ACTAAGTATCACTACATAGATTCTTAAGTTTTGAGTTAGATAAAAGGATCTGTTAAAGGTTATTAGAATAATAAAATTCAAAGCTCCCCAACTTTATTTGAAGTACAAAAGCAACAGACTAAATGAATCCCAAGGTCTTTGATCTTTTAATCAGACAAGTCAAAAACCAAAACACTAATTTTATAAAGTAGAAGCTTTTCCCAGACTTTTATCAAGGTAGCATGTGTCATTAATCCAATCTATATTTGATGCCAAAAACTTCCTGGGTTTAGCAGCCCTCAAACTGTTCTCATGTGCTCAACTTACTCCAATTCACAAAACTATATGCTTCATGAGCCTGAAGATTATTGTCCCCAAAGTTAAAGCATGGCATTTTTTTGTGGCAAATGTGAAGCTTAAACAAAAGGTATACTATTTTATTTTCACCAAATAATTGAGGCTCCTGTTTGTGGGTTATTTGGGGTTTTGAGTTTTACATTATGAAAATGTCCATATGGGGTGCCTGCAAGCCTTGACATCTGATAACAAAGGTCAAGTTATATGTGGTATTTTGATTACTCATGAGCAGTTCTATCATTGGCAATGAATGTATCTCAACCTACCTAATGATCACATTACCAGGTAAACTGGAACCCTTACTTTGAGATAAAACATAGCAGACAGTTGTTAATGAAACCTTAATTGAACTGTCAAAGTACCATCTTTACCAGGAAGCTAATGGGTAATTCACTACTTTTACACAAGTGTCCAATACTGATAAGTTATTCCACTAGTTAAATTCAGCAGAAAGATAAATCATGTCAGGCATACTAAACTGTTCTGTAATACTGTAAATCTGAATGGTAAAGCCAGACACTGGTGGTGGCTCATGCCTATAATCCTAGCTACCCATGAGGCTGAGATCTGAGAATCTCTGTTTGAAGCCAGCCTAGGTAGGAAACCTATGAGACTCTTGCGTCCAATTAACCACCAAAAAGCTGGAAGTGAAGCTGTGGCTCAAGTGGCAGAGCTAGTACTAAGTGAAAAAACTCAGGGACAATGCCCAGACCCTGAGCTCAAGCCCCAGGATCAATGCATACATATGTGTGCATATGCGTGCACATACATATACACATACAAACACACATAATCTGAATGGTAAAATGCTGCATCATGTCTATGGATAGCTCTTCCCATCTACATGGAAAAACAACAATATCCCTCAAAATTACATCAGTTTGTCCCTCTGGGTGACTGTTGAAAAAACAATAGTGGTAGATTTAGTCCCTTGTCATAATGCTGAAACAGAATAACTGCAAAGAATGTATGTTTGAATCTAAGTAAATCATAAGTTACATAGTACATTGACTCAAATGATGTATCAACAGAAGAATATTCTTATGTTCTATTTTAATCACTTTAGAAAATAGATGCTTTAGATTCATAAGGTGCTTTTTAAATTAAAAAGAAAAATCTTTTAGCTACAAAGTAAATAAATTTATCAACACAGTAGGTCTTAGAGTACTACCAAAAATACAAATCTCTGTAGTTTCAACAAACTTACTCAGGTCATAGAGCAATTAAATTTCAATTATAGAGCCGGGCGCTGGTGGCTCACGCCTGTAATCCTAGCTACTCAGGAGGCTGAGATCTGAGGATCACGTTCAAAGCCAGCCCGGGCAGGAGAGACCGTGAGACTCCTATCTCCAATAAACCACCAGAAAACTGGAAGTGGCACTGTAGCTCAAGTGGTAGAGCGCTCGCCTTGAGCTGAAGAGATGAGGGACAGCGCCCAGGCCCAGAGTTCAAGCCCCACAACCGACAAAAAAAAAAAAATTCCAAATATAATCAACAGCTCAAACAACTATGTAAACAGCAAAACAGACAAACATTTGCATACTAAAACACACACCTGGAGTTCTTCCCTTTTTTACTCACCAAGTTGTATTTCACTTGAAACAACTGATAAAATAATGTAGGAACTACAAAAACCTGGTTGAAAATGAAGGTGGCAAGATGACCACCATCTACAATACAAGGAGAGAAGCCTCAGAAAAAAACAGACCTGCCAGCACTTTAACCTTGGCCTTACAGACTCTAGAACTATGAGAATTAAATTTCGGTTGTTTCTGTAATTTAAGCCAAAACAAAGAAGGGACTGAATAGCTGACCGATTAATCAAGCAGGAAAGCTATCACAACACTGTTCTAGATTCTGAGCAGAAAAAGAAGTACTTCAGAAGATAGCTGTTACCCTCAAGGTGTTACAACGTAGTAAGACAAGTCAAATGTGAAACCAGTGCACAATTGAAGATGGCGCACTAAAGCCTACTTCAAGTTCATGGTACAAACTCCGAGGTGGAGGGTCAATCAAAGCTCTAGGATAAATTCAAGTCAAATACATTTGGATTTTCAAGACGGGGTATTCCTGTTTGCTATTCAGTACTCCTGTTTGTCACTAGCCTACCACAACCCTGCTCTCTTAAAAAAAAAAAAAAATTCCCTTAACAAACCTGAGGTTAAAATGTGTACAAGTCACATCTTTTGATAAAATTAGATCTATTCAAGAATACAGTAGCTCTTTTAATATCCCTAGTTTTTAGCAATGTACACAAAGCACTAAATGAGGGCATCCAGACCTAAAAACTTTATAAATTCTCATTCAGTAAAACAATGACAACGTTTAAAACTAGGAACAACCTTTCTCTTGTTCCCTTCTCACCCCCACAGCTCGGAAAACCTCAAAGGCTAGGCAAGAAATGGAAGTTCATAGTGAAATCCCTCAGGATAGGCTATGGAAGGGGAAAGAGGAAGGCAGGAACAGGCAGGTCCCTGAGCAGTGACTGAAGAGGCACCATTACAAGCTCTACTCTTTCCCACTAGGAATCTCACACCCCCTGGAGAAGGGAAAATGAAGCAGCAACCTCCTTGGAGACCAGCTGAGAAAAACTGGATTCTACTAGTTTACAAAAAAAAAAGAAGAAGAAGAGGAGGAGGAAGAAAAGGAAGACAAATCAGATCACCTTAACTGCCTAGATTATAAAACCTGAAATATAAAGATGGCTCTAATGCAACTGATATTCATCAATTTTTAGCCTCAAAAACAAAGATGAAAGGAGATATTTGCCAGGCTAGTACCAGAGTTCATTTTCCTGTGGTGATGGGGTTTTTCTAGACATTAACAAGAATCTATTTTTGAATGCACCGAAAACATTAATTCATCTATCCACACTGAAATTCTTAATCCTAAAAAAGAAAACCCATAATTCACTCTACTTTTGATGGGAATAAGTACATTTTATTATAAACTACTAAATCTTCCTAAGAACAAATAGAAAACTAAAAATTCTACATTTAACAAACTCTTCAGACTTTTTCAGATATCCTAGCACTAGCAAAAGTAAAACCATTTCATTTGTTTAAAAGTATACTTCCTACAATAGCAACTCAACAGGGATAAAAGCAACCAAAGAGGCACTAAGTGACACTAACACATTACACTGAATGTGGGCCACTGCACAGCTACAGTCTACTAACCTCATTTGTGGTACTCATGTGTGATGCTATATTTAATGCATTCTTATCAGAAGACTTAAGCTACATACTTCCCAACTTTAGCTTTATGGTTTAAAATAAACCACTAGAGCAATGACTTTAACTGGTTCAACTTTAAAACCTACCATCCTTCTGGGGACCAAGATCACAAAACAAAACATCAAAAGATGAAAAGGATAGGCAAAAAATTATGCAAAGTATATACAAATGACAAGGCTATTACAAAGCAACCAAATCTGGGTCAGACGTTGACATTTGCTCCAATTGGGCAACTGATCCAAAGCAAATCAAACACATGAGAGATGACCAAGGTCTTTATAGGAATAGGTTTTTCATACATTCATCTATTGATCTCTCAGTGGATCACTTAGATTCTGAACAGGAAAGTTTAGTAATTAAACTTATGTTAGTCATGAAAAGGTGCTCCACTAAAAGTTGCCAAGACTCATGCCAAGCACTGGTGGCTGAAGCCTGTAATCCTAACTACTCAGGAGGCTGAGATCTAAGGACTACGACTTGAAGCTATTCTAGGTAGCAAAGTATGTAAGACTCCTATCTCCAATCAACCACCCCAAATCCAGAAGTGGAGTTGTGGCTCAAGTGGTAGAGCACCAACCTTGAACAAAAAAGGGGCAGTGTCCAGGCTGAGATCAAACCTGGTACCAAAAAAGAAAAAAAAGTTGCTGCCGGAAGTGGCACTGTGGCTCCAGTGGTAGAGCACTAGTTTTCAACACAAAGAGGCTCAAAGATAGAGCCCAAGCCCTGAGTTCAAACAAGGACAAGCAAAAAAAAAAAAAAAAAAAAAATCCATATCCCAGCGCTGGTGGCTCACACACCTATAATCCTAGCTACTAAGGAGGCTGAGATCTGAGGATGGTGGTTCAAAGCCAGCCTGAGCAAGAAAGTTGGCCAGACTCTTATCTCCAATAAACTACTCAGAAAAAGCCAGAAGTGGTGCTGTGGCTCAAGTGTTAGAGCCCTAACCTTGAGCACAGAAAGACTCAGGGACAGAGCCCAGGACCGGCAAAAAAAAAAAGGTGGCAAGCCAGTAGCCAGTGACATCATGCCTGCAATCCTAGCTACACAAGAGGCTGAGATCTGAAGATAGTGGTTCACAGCCTGCTTGCTTAAGAAAGTCCCTGAGATTCTTATCTCCAATTAGCCACCAGAAGACCAGAGGTGGCACTGTGGCTCAAAGTGGTGGAGTGCTAGCCTTGAGTGAAAAGGACAGTGCCTAGGCCCAGTTCAAGCCCCACGACCAACTAAAAAGGAAAGTTGCCAAGACTCAAAAGCTTAAGCCTAGATAGACAACACGTTAAGCCTCTTCACAAAGTGAGGGTGGCTTCCAACAGTTGAGTTGAGAACTTTGCTCCACTTTGGTCCACCAAGTGAAAAGCATGGGTGATGACTCGTCCAATCAGAATCATGGAAAGAAACCGGAAGTTGTGTTGTTCTTTTGATACTCACCAGACTACACCAAAGGCTCCATATCCAATAGGCCTATCGGGCTCAATATCCAGCTGCTGTTGCGGATGATGCGAGTGCTGATGATGGTGTGCCTTAACTGTAGCAGCTGCAGCAGCTTGTACCTGAGCTGGGGCTGCTGCAGCTGGTCCAGGAGCCTGTCCAGGTGCCGGTGATGGGAAATATGGCTGTTGTTGCCCAGGGTTTAACATAGCTGCGGCTGCGGCTGCTGCTGCGGCTGCGGCGGCAGCCGAAGAGGTATGCTGCTGTACAGGGTGTACAGCGGCAGCCGACCCCGGATGAAGATGGTGTTGAGGGTGGTGGTGGTGGTGAAGGTGAGGAGGAGGAAGGTGTGGAAGGTGGTGATGATGGTGGTGGTGGTGACCTGCTGCTGCTGCAGATGTACCGCCATTGTAAGCCGCCATCATTTTTGCGTTGGCTCTTGCGCCACAAAGAGACATTCAAAAAATGCCCTTTGATTGGAAAGCAAACTGGGTCAAGCTGTCATTTGGCCATTTAAAAAATGAAGAAAAACCACTCACTCCACCTCCAAAAAACATAGAGCGTAACTGGCTTTATGTCTTCATCAGTCAATCCAAACAAGTTAAGAGGATCTTGGTGTTTAAGTTTTGGGTGAGTGTGAATGTGGAAGGGTATGGGTTGCCAAAAAAGAAAAAAGAAAAAGGAAAAGAAAGGAAAAAAAAAAGAAAAGAAAAGGGGGGGAAAAAAGGACCCCTTCCCCCCAGGATTCCTGCCACAAGTGGGTACTAAAACTCCATCCTTAATTTGGGGGAGGTTCCAACTTTGAATGTGGGAATAAAGGCCAAATCTCCCGACCCCCTGAACTCCACACACGAAAAGGATCAGGTAACACACCACCCTTAGAATCCTGTAAGAGGGTTGACTCATCTACCCCTTCCATTCCCACATCCTTTTCTAAACACCTACCACCTCCTCAAAAAAACACAATTTCGACGGATTTCCCAGCCACCCTAAAACCCAAAAGATGGGGGGGAAATCTGCAAAGAAAACCTGCTTCTGGCTTTCCCCCCCCCCTCGAACTCTCAGGCCTTTCCTACATCTCCCCCTACTCCTAGTCTAGTCAGGTTGACCTGATGGGGGGGGAGGGTTGCGGGGGGGGGGTGTACCAAACTTTCCTGGGCAGAATGCGCGACGGGAAGGAGGCTGGACAGAGTGAGGAGAGAAGGCGAAAGGCAAGGCGGGGGGGGGGGGGGGGGAGAGAACCCGGGGAAAAGTGAAGGTAAAGAGGTGCAGGGGAAAATGAAAGAGCAGTGGGCAGCACTCGGACGCCCAGACAGAGGGGAACCGCCCCGGGAAGAGGTTAGGGTCCCGGGGCCAAAGAAAAAGAGCCCCGGGAGGCGGGCGGGGTACGGTCGGAAGCGGGCTGACTCCGGCCCCCGCCGCCGCCGGCGGCTTCTGCTGAGGAGGGTTGGGGGGGAGAGCGGGTGGGTCCCCCGTGCGACGGCCCCTGCAGGGCTCAAGGCTGCTCCGTCTCCCCCCCTCCCCCCCACCCGGCGTCCGACCCCGGGGCCGCTTTCTCCTCAGCCGCCGCGGCTGCTTTCTCTTCCGCCGCCGCCTCCACCTCCTCCTCCTCCTCAGCCGCCGGTGCCGCCGCGGCCGGACTCACCTCCCCTAGCAAAGCCGGATAGAGCGGAGCCAGCGGCGGACACGCGCAACCAGCTTCCGAGGCCCCGCCCCCGCCTCGCACTGACCGGCTGCCTTAGCCAATCCACGCCCACCTGTCCGCGTCCGTCTCCAATCCTGGGCCGAAAACTTCAGACAGGCGCACTGTTCGACCAGTGGCAGCAAGGTGTGGGTCTCCTGGGGAAATTCCGCCCCCAATGCGGGATGGGCAGATAGAAAGACCAATCAAGAGGCAGCTCTTGGCTTGACCGACAAGGTTGATAGCCAATTAAAAATCAAAAATCTCTGACATTTTCTTTTGCCTCTCTCCTCTTTTCTTTTTCTTCTTTTATTTTTTTGGCAGGAGCAGGAAGCTGCGTGCTAATCCCGCCTGCAAAAGCTAGAAGAAAGGGGCGGAATGAAAGAACCAATCATGAGCCAGGAACAAAGAACAGACTAACCAATCCTCGGGTTGCAGATGAGATGGGCTGGTACTCGAGCCAGATAGACATTTAATTTGGCAAATGGAAAAAAAGATTGCTCTAAGTCCCGCCTTCAGATCATCTGTAGGGCAGGATTGTGGAGAATTCGCTACCACGTCCGAGACGACCACCTCGAGGGGGCGTGGCTATCAGAAGGGGGTGTGGTTTAAAGGAGGCGTGGTCACGTTGAAGAAGGCGGAGTCCAAAGCATTGGTGGTCCATTGATGGGAGCCCTTTTAAAGCTCACTACCTCTTTTAAGGCCTAAATGAGGAAAAGTAGAGAAAAACGAATATTGAGCTTCAGAAGCTCGAAATCCAAAAAGGTCCAAAAAGATAACAGTCACAGAAGAAACTCACTGGACAGACAGTTCATAGACAATGGCTGGTCTTCATAATTTATCTTCATCTTGGCAAAAGAAAAAAAATAGAATGCTCACTCCACTGACGGTAAAGCTATCGATAGAAATTAAAACAACAAAAAGTAGGTGTAACCCTAAAAAGAGTAATTTTTCTCCCCAAATTTTCTAATTAAGATCTGGTTATTGAAATAACATCATTCACATTCTTTCAGTTACCTGAATTTACTCTTAAAATATGAAATAACAACATTTCCAGACTTTAGTAATTAAACTGTATATACCCAACCTGGAGATCATTTTTGACCTGTTTTGCCTGTTCACACTCCTCTTTTAACCCATCATTTCCCTTCCTACAGACTATCTCTTCCTTAAACCATCCTCTTTTAAATTCCCATCATTGGCAAATGACACTGGTGTTCTCTGTAAATTTACTGTGGCTAAACAAAGAAGAAAAGCATACTCAGCTTTTTGCAGAAATTATTCTGGGAAAGATTCTGAGGTATCATTCAGGGTGCAATGTGATTTGGAAGTGTAAGGAATTTCTCTGGATTCAGTTCCAGAAAAGTTTATCACAGACCTGTGTTCTTGAACGTCAAGACAGGAATATATGACGTGAAAAAGTTTATTTGATGAGCAAGCATAAATAAATAATAAAAATACAGTAGTCTATCCTAATGTGAGGTTTCAGCTTTGAATTGTTTGCTATTTTGAGTAATAGGATGAAATCTTGCACTATCTCATGGTATCATACTGGGAATCATCCTTTTGTCCAGTGTATTTATACTGTATATACTACTTTCTCATTAGTGACTTAATAGCTTTCAATTTTCATATCAACAATTACAATATTGCAGTACTTACATTCAAGTTGCCCTGATATAGTAGTCTCCCATGATACCTAACTCATTTCTCCTTACTTCCTTTCATCACTAAACCATTATATCATCTCATTTTATCACAAGAAAAAGGGTGATGGAGACAGATCTGAGAATTGTGTTTCAAATCCAGCTCTCCACTGCCAAGGTGGGAGTTGGGGAGGATATAGACGCAGAGAGAGAATTTTGTAACACTCTTATCTCCAATAGCAAAAGACCAAATGTGGAGGTATGACTCAAGTGGTAGAGCACAAACCTTGATCAAAAAAGCCATGAAAGGGCCTGGGAAGGTGGCTCAGTGGTAGAGCGCTTGCCTTGCATGTCTGAGGCCCTGGGTTCGATTCCTCAGCACCACATAAGCAAAAAGAAAAAAGCTGGAAGTGGCGCTGTGGCTCAAGGGGTAGAGCAGTAGCCTTGAGCTGAAGAGCTGAGGGACAGTGCCCAGGCCCAGAGTTCAGGCCCCACAACCGGACTCCCCCCCACAAAAAAAAAGCCACAAAAAAATGAGAGGCCCTGAGTTCAAGCTTCAGTACTGGTACAAAAAAAAAAGGAAAGAAGAAGGGAAAGGAAGAATAGAAAGAAAGGAAGAAAGAAAGGTGGGTGATTATAATAGAATGAAGTATGTTGGGCTCAGAGCTCATTCACATAATAAAATTACATATATTCCCAAATCTAAAACTTTTCAAGGACCCACATGATACCACAGTGGAAAATCCCACCTCTGACCTATGTTGCAATTATAACATCAGAACATATTGTGTGAAATTACCTTAAGGCCATGTGTATGAGGCTTATATGAAACAAATAAATTTTGGGTTTAGAATTGGGGCCCAACCCCGAGGAATCATTAGGTATATGTAAATCTTTCAAATTCTAAAAAAAAAAAAAAATTACCTGAAACACTCTGACTCTAAGTATTCCAGATAAGATATATTCAACATATAATAAATTCTAGTTTATAATTATTGTTGCTAATCTACCGTGCCAAATTTATAAGTTCAACTTTATCATATGTGTGTACTTATAGGAAAATAATATATATATATATATATATATATACACACACACACACACACATATATATGCTTCAGGCATCCAATGGGGGTCTTTGAAACTTTCCCTTATGGATAAAGGGGTAATAACACACTGGCACCTGCCTAGTTCAAGGTCCTTTTCCCTTACCTCTACCTTCTGAATTTCTTCAGGTCCTCAAATGCTTTGTTGCCTCCAAGCCTTTATCCCATCTTAAGTTCAAAACTCTTCCCACCCATGCTCTGCTTCTCTAATTCACCCTTCTGGTGTCTTCAGGTAAATTTCACTTTTTTCTCCCTAGAAAGCCTTTCACTGATTGAAATTATATTTCTCTATATCTTCATGGCCTTGCTTCCCTCCTAGCACTGAGAACTCTATTTTAATTGCTTATTGAGTTTGACTAGGACAGAGAGCTTGTCTGTCTCAATGTTATATGTCCAGTTCTTAAGACAGTGCTTGAGAAAGGTGAAGGTTCTACAGATTTGCATGAATTCCTGACAAGCTAGTACAAATCCAAGCTTTGGTGTTCACTACCTTTTTAATTCAACAACTGTACTAACCTTTCTCAGTCATAGTTGCCTCGACTGAAATAAACATAGGTATTTCATCAAGTTGATTTTTGGATTAAATGAGGTGATGCATCTAAAATATTTGGCAAGGAACAGATAATTAATATACATTAATTTTCTGTCACTCTTAATCTGGCATAAAATTTGAGATACTTTCCCAATTTTCCAGTGCACCTCAGTCTCCTTTAAAGAGTATTTTCTTAGATGTTTCTTCAACATGCAAATTCCCTGTTCCCCCCTAAACCTCCTGATCAGAACTTGGGGTGGGAAAAGGGAGTGAAAATTTGTTTAACAAGCCCTCCAGGTGATACTCGCAAAACAGTTGGAGAAGCACCAACCTAGAGGAAGAGGATCAGTCTTAAGTTTTATATTCAGCACATAGTATCATATCATACACATGAAATAAATTAATCCACCAGAAAATGATTACTCATTAAGAGTTAAGTAACTCTACATTTCTCAAACATTTATTGAGTACCAATAATATCTAGGCATGATGCTAGAATCAGCAAGGAAGAAGGGAGATGGTTGTATTCAAATCTCTGGGCCTCCCTAAGAGTTTTAAGGGTGTGCATTCTCCAGGGGATACACGAAGTGACACATTAGTCTCCTGAGAGAAATTAGGACAACTCCTGCCTGGGTGTGGTGGCACAGTCCTATAATCTCAGCACTCTCAAGCCTAAGGCAAAGGAATCTTGAGTACAAGACCAATCTGCATTATGAAGAAAGATCCAGTATCCAAAAACAAAAAACCCAAATATACACGCACACATGGTATAATTTGATTTCTATTTGGTGATGTACATACTACAGAGTGCTGTGTATTTAGAATTTATAAATAAATAACATACAAAAATTAAGATGTGCCGGGTGCTAGTGGCTCACGTCTGCAATCCTAGCTACTCAGGAGGCTGAGATATGAGGGTCGAGGTTCAAAACCAGCCCAGGCAGGAAAGTCCATCAGACTCTTGTCTCTAATTAACCACCAGAAAAACAGAGGTGGCTCAAGTGGTAGGGTGCTTGCCTTGAGCTGAAGAGCTCAGGGACAGCGCCCAGGCCCAGAGTTCAAGCCCCACGACCAACCCCTGCCCCCCCAAAAATTGAGATACTATGCCTCTGCAAAATTATCAAAAATATTGGGAAATCCTTGGTATAGTGGCCATTTTATGTTCATGGTTTAGAGCAGAGCCACTCATGGAAGCCACAGATAAACTTTAAATTTATCTAGTAGTCAAATTAAAAAGCTAAAATAAATAATTGTTTTTGATATATTTTATTTAATCTACTATATCCAAAAGATTGTAATTTTAACATGTAACAAATCTTTTTAAAATATACATACATCTATAGAATACCAAACCTTTGAAATCTGCTACATATTTTGCATATACTTATAGTACCACTCTAACTGAATTAATACCAGCTGTAGAGAGGCTGAGAAGTAGAAAGATTACCAGGCCAGCCAGGGCTATAAAGCAAGTTTCAAGCCAGGCTGGGTTACATAGTTTGAAAAAAAATCAAGTTTGGTATGATGGTGCACATCTGTGATCTCACCACCCACAAGGTTGAGGCAGAAGGATCTTGAGTTCAAGGCTAGCCTGTCCAACATGGTGAAACTCTGTGACAAACAATGCAAGGGTCCTCAGTCACACTTGCCATTGCTCATTAGACATGGCTA